CACTTCTAACTGAAAATATTCAACCACCAAACGTCAGCAGCCCTGTGCATGCAGAATTCCCTGTTATCTTGCTGTAGCTCCTCCAGCTCCCAGCTCCCACTGCCTGATGGCAATCCCACTGTTCATTCCCAAAGAAGGGCAGTGGGAACAGCTCTCATGCCTGTGCCACATGCTCCTCGTGCTGAGGGAAGGCTGGAGCCACAGGAACCCAGACTGAGCCCTCCAGCCCTCAGGAAAATCAGCTGAACGAAACCCCGAGCTCGCCCTTAAATGAGAATCTTCCACCCCAGCAGGTGACAGACTGGAACAGAGGGCAGGGAGGGGATGTGCCACCACATTTTCTTGAGTTTACCTCACAAGTGGCTCTGGGACAGCCAGCATTCCATGTGACAGCAGCGTGGGACACCTGGCCAGGGATGCCAGGGCTGGCCAGGGATGCCAGGGCTGGCCAGGGGATGCCAGGGCTGGCCAGGGACGCCAGGGCTGGCCAGGGATGCCAGGGCTGCCCAGGCTGTCACGTGGCAGCTCCCTGGAGCCCAGTTTATTGGCCCAGTGTCAACAGTGAGGTTGGACACAGCCCATCCAGGGGCTCTTGGGATGGAAAATTAACCAGGAGGCTCCCAGGGATGGACAAGGAGGGCAGTGGGACACAGGGGACGCAGAGGGTCCTACCTTGATGTCGTTGTCGATGCCTCCAGAGATGATCTGGTCGCTGGTGTCATTGAAGGTGACAGCCAGGACCTGGTAGGTGTTCTGGAATGTCTGCACAGCTGCTTTTTTCCTGATGTCCCACAGCTGGAAAGACGTGGCAGTTGTAGAAGGATGGACATTTAACATAAATATGGATATTTAGCAACAAAATCACGCACAAGAGACTCAGCTTGCTCCCCTGAAATTCCCCTGAGATCTCAGGAGGTCTCTACAAAAACAAGGCTTGGAGATACTTGGTCTGTGAAAGATGTCCCTGCCTATGGCAGGGGCGTGGAACAAGATGAGCTTTAAGGTCCCTTCCCTCAAAAGAATTAAATCTGGTGTGGTTGGAGCACAGGAATGAGGGGAGGGAAGAAGGAGATTTCGGGAATGGCTTCTGTTGAACGAGGTCAGCAGAAAAAGCACAACTGAGCAAGGTGGATCTTTATGACCCTCCAAAAGAATTAAAGAGCAAAAGGAACAGCCAAATTTTGTGATTTTTTAATTCTGAAGCCAAAATTATAAGATAATGCAATAACATGAACAAGGCTGAATTAAATGGTAAGACCCCAAAAAGTCTTCCAGAGCTCAAGAACTGAGGTCAAGGCAATAAAGAAGACCTGGAAGAAGCAAAGAAAGAGTTCCAATAGGGGGGTGACTATGAAGAGTAAACTAATGAATATGTATTAATTAAGAGACAACATCCAATGAATCTGTAAACAGTGTGTTTAATAAAAAGCCCTGCCCACCTGCTGTTGGATTAGAGGAGCTCTCCTCCTGAATGAACATCTACAAATTGGGCTTAAGAAGTTGGTTTCTGCTGCTTTTCAGCATCACTTTTGGCACCCCAGATGGGACTGGAACCCACAATCCCCATAAAAATGGAAAAAGTCTGTGCATTTGAGATCTCAGGAGTTCTCTACAAAAACAAGGCTTGGAGATAAGCTGGTCTAGTGGAAGGTGTCCCTGCCCGTGGCAGGGGCGTGGAACAAGATGAGCTTTAAGGTCTCTTCCCCCAAAATAATTCAATCTGGTGTGGTTGGAGCACCTAGCCTTTGTGAACCTAAGGCTTTATTTAACTGAATAAACAATAAATTCTACCTGTCTACCACTCAAACTGCCCAGGGGTTATTTCTCTGATTTCAGGTGACACAGGACACCGACCTCGAGAGAGCCTGTGCTGTGAGGGGGGGTTCATCTCCCACCTGTGCTCCTCGAGACCTCATTAACAACAGAACTGCTTTCTACCTTTCCACCCCCAGAGCCCACTTTATCCCTGTGATTTCAGGTGACTCGGGACACGCTGACCTTGACGGTGCCGTCGTCGCTGCCGGTGCAGACGAGCTGGGGGCCCCTGCGGGCGGGGTAACAGGAGTTGACGAAGGACGTGTGGCCCTTCAGCCTCTTCACCCTCTCCCCCGTCTCGCTGTCCCACACGGCCACGGTCTTGTCCGTGGAGGCTGAGAAGAGCATGCTGTGGGGCAAGAGACACTGGTCAAAGCTGGGAATCAGCGGTGGGAGAAGGATCTCTCTGGTTAAATCATTTTCCTGCCTCCCCGAACGCTCCCTGGGATGAGCACACAGGGAAAGCTCAGCAGCAGCAGCTCAGATGCAAGAGTGGAAAAGCCTTTTTAGATTAAGCAGCGTCTCAGTTGTTTTCTCTCCCTCCCCAGTGTCTCACAGATGCTCAAAACTAACTCCTTTCTGTTCCTCAAGGCTGCATCGAGGGCACTGCTGGGTCACACAGGTGGCTTTGCTCACAACCAGGCAGGCACCAATCCTTATCCAGGAAAGCCATGTTATAGGGATGTGCTGTCCATGGATTGAGCAAAGGCAACAATCCCAGGATCACTGAGGTTGGAAAGGATCTCCCAGCCCATGGAGCCCTCCCTGTGCCCCATCCCCACCTTGTCCCCCAGCCCAGAGCACTGAGTGCCACATCCTGGCCTTCCTTGGACACCTCCAGGGATGGGGACTTCAAACCTCCCTGGGCAGCCCCTGCCAAGGCCTGACCACCTTTCCAGCAAGAAATTCCTGCTGATGTCCAACCTGCCCCTCCCCTGGCACAGCTGGAGGCCGTTCCCTCTCCTCCTGTCCCTGTTCCCTGGGAGCAGAGCCCGACCTCCCCCCCGGCTCCCCCCTCCTGTCAGGGATTGCAGAGCCAGAAGGTCCCCCCTGAGCCTCCTTTTCTCCAGGCTGAGCCCCCCCAGCTCCCTCAGCCGCTCCTGCTGCTCCAGCCCCTTCCCCCTGACGTTCAGTGAGGGCTCCCTGGGGGTCTCTGAGCAGCAGGAGGGCCCAAAGCCCCCCTGTCCCCACCTGCCATCCGTGTTGTAGTGCAGCTCCATGACGGCCCCGCTGTGCCCCTTGAGGGTGGCAAAGTTGTCACAGTCCCCATAGACATTCCACAGCACTGGGGGAGAGGGAGGCACAGGTGAGCACAGGAATCCTGGGAACAGCTCCCTGCTGGGCGTGGGAATTCAGCAAAGCAAAGGATGCACCACCCCCAGCATCACCTCCAGCCTGGGATAACTCACAGCAGTAACAAAGCATCACTGAGAGCCCCAGGGCAGGGATGGCTTGAGCTGATTTAGGGGTCTTGATGAAGGTGAATCAATTAAGAAAAGCAACAATCTTCCCCTCAGCAAGCCCAAGCATTGAAATCTGTGTTTCTGCAGTCTCCTGTCACCCCTGAGAGGGACCTGGGGACACAGGGCTGTGCCCAGCAGGGCATTTCCAGTCCCACGGGGACAGTGACCTGCCAGAGGAGATGGAAAAAGCCTCCTGCAGCATTCCTGGGGAAATGAGGAGCTGGGAAAAGCCTCTTGCACCTCTCCTGGGTCAGCCCTGGGAGAAGCTTCCTGAACCTCTCCTGGGGAAACCCTTCATGCACAGGGCCCAGCCAGGTGAGGGCTGAGCTAAAACCCCTCAGCATCGTGTCCTGAGCCTGGGGAGCCCAGCCCAGCCCAGGGGACAGCAGGGACAGCAGGGACACTCACAGATGAGCCTGTCGAATCCAGCAGAGGCCAGGGTGTTGCCATTGGGGTGGAACTTGCAGCAATAAACCTCCCCCTCGTGCCCTGAGAGCAGCATGATGGGGGCCTGGAGGGAGGAGCAGCGTGGGGGGCCCTGGGGACACAGGGGGACACCGTGAGAGACAAGGGACAGCCCCAGCCTGTCAGACACCCCTCACAGCAGAGCTTCCACACCACATCCCACCACTGTCCCACGGGGATCACAGAGTCACTGAGGTTGGAAAGGATCTCCAAAACCATCGAGCCCACCCTGTGCCCCATCCCCACCTTGTCCCCCAGCCCAGAGCACTGAGTGCCACAACCAGGCCTGCCTTGGACACCTCCAGGGCTGGGGACTCCAAACCTTCCCGGGCAGCCCCTGCCAAGGCCTGACCACCCTTTCCAGCAAGAAATTCCTGCTGATGTCCAACCTGCCCCTCCCCTGGCACAGCTGGAGGCCGTTCCCTCTCCTCCTGTCCCTGTTCCCTGGGAGCAGAGCCCGACCCCCCCCTGCTCCCCCCTCCTGTCAGGGATTGCAGAGCCAGAAGGTCCCCCCTGAGCCTCCTTTTCTCCAGGCTGAGCCCCCCCAGCTCCTTCAGCTGCTCCAGCTGCTCCAGCCCCTTCCCTGGACACCTCCAGTCCCTCCGTGTCTCTCTTGTTCCGAGAGGCCAAGAACTGCCCGCAGCTCTGGAGGTGTCTCAGCAGCGCCAGCACAGGGTGCCCCCAGACCCCCTCGGGGGCTTCCCCATCCTCCCCCCATCTTCCCCTCACCCCCCTCCCCTCACGCCTCCATTACCCCCTGCAGCAGGGCCCCGCCGGGGGGCTGCCCGCCCGCGCCGCCCGTGCCCGGCGCGCCCGGCGCGTCATGGCGGGGCCTCTTGGCGGGCACGGGCACGAGCGGGAGGTCCGCGGCGGGGGCCGGGGCCGGGCCCGGCGCGGGGCCTGGAGTGGGGCCGGGACCGCCCGGCACCTTCCGCTTCTGCTGCTCGATCATGGCGGGGCCGGGCGACCACGCCCCCCGCACGCCATTGGTTGGCGGCGCCGCGCCCGCCGCGCTGATTGGCGGAGCGGAGCTGGATGTCCCGCCCTCTTCCCCCGCTGGGTGTCCCGCCCTCCCCGCGACGCGCGGGGTTAGAAGAGGCCGCGCTGATTGGCGGCAGGCGTGCCGCGCGCTACCACGGCTAACGCTGATTGGCTGAGGCGGATCACCGCGCAGCATCGCGCGCGGCGATTGGCGCGCCGGGCGGTCCCTCAGGGCGAGGGGCGGTGATGGCGGCGGCGGGCGGGGCCGGCTGAGGGCGATGATGGAGGCTCGGTGCTGTCGCTGCGGGCGCTGAGGGGTCACGGCTGCCCCGCGACCCCCCAGGCAGGACCCTGCCGTCCCACCGCGCCGCTCCGGGTCCGTCCTGCAAGCTCGGCTCCAGCCGCGCCCCCTGCTCCTTCCCCCTGGGCGCCCGCGGGCTGAGCGTTCTCTGAGGGTTCTCCGAGAGGTTTGAGGCGATAATTCAGCGTCTCCTTTCGCAGCGCCCCCGTGGGGGAAATGCGGTAACCTGCGGTGAACCCGTCTGGCGCTTCTGGGACCTTCGGAGGCGATGGAGCCGCTGCCCGAGCTCTACGCGATCTTCCAGGGAGAGGTGCGGGGAGCGGCCCGGCCCGGCGGGGCCCCCTCAGCTGAGACCCCCCTGCAGAGCTGCCCCAGCCCTGGGAACAGCAGCACAAGGACCTGGAGCTGCTGCAGAGAGTCCAGAGGAGGCCCCAGAGATGCTCCAGGGCTGGAGCCCCTCTGCTCTGGAGCCAGGCTGGGAGAGCTGGGGGGGTTCCCTGGAGAAGAGAAGGCTCCAGGGAGACCTGAGAGTCCCTTGCAGGGCCTAAAGGGGCTCCAGGAGAGCTGGAGAGGGACTGGGGACAAGGCATGGAGGGACAGGACACAGGGAATGGCTTCAAATTGGAAAAGGGGTAGATTTGGGTGGGATTTTGGGAAGGGCTTGGCTGTGAGGGTGGGGAGGGCCTGGAATGGAATTCCCAGAGAAGCTGTGGCTGCCCCTGGATCCCTGGAGGTGTCCAAGGCCAGGCTGGACAGAGCTTGGAGCAACCTGAGCTAGTGGAAGGTGTCCCTGCCCATGGCAAGGGGTGGAATGGGATGAGGTTAAAGATCCATTTACAAAACCTTTTTAAGAACTTAAATAAGCTTATTTAATGTCATAACTTATCAGTTACACTTTATATAATATATGTTACATATATAATTATATGCAAAGATAACATATGTTATAAATATTCATTTAAATAAAGTTTTAAAGGCTTTTAGAAGGTGTTGGGTCACAGGTTGGACTCGATCATCTCACAGGGCTTCTCCATCCTCATTGATTCTGTGATTCTGTCCCTTCCAACCCAAACCACTCCAGGATTTTATATCCACACCCCTATAAGATGCTGATCTGAACAACACCTGCCCCAGTCCCAAAGCCCTGCTCTGTCTGACCTGCCCTGAACCCCAAAACTGGAGGAAAACGGGAGAACTCCGTGGGTTTCTTGTGCATTTTCTCTCCTGTGATGTCAAAACGGGCCTTTGGGCAGGCTCTTCCTTCAGCTGCTGTGTTGGGTTTTGTTCACAGGTGGCCACAGTGACAGATTATGGGGCATTTATCAAGATTCCAGGCTGCAGGAAACAAGGTTTGTGCCTCTGCTTTGCTCTGGGGGCACTTTCAGGCTGGTGTTTTCAAGCCAAGGATTAAAAGCTTTTAGAAAATGCTTAGAAAAGGATTTATTCCCCCCCCCCCAAAATTAGGAAGAAATTGGAATTGGAAAGTGTTTAGAAGATGATGGGTGTTTTCAAGAATACCAAAAAAACCCTCTCAGTCTTTTTTGGCAATGTCAGGATATTCTGGTGTGGGTTTTTTGGGTAATTTTAGGAGATTTAGGATATTTTGCTGTGGGTTTTTATTTGTAAAATCATAAAAGAAGGAGCTAAAGGTTAAGAACTGTTGATTTATTTTTATGTGTTAAATGTTGAAAGAATGAGCTAAAGGTGAGATAAGCACTATTAATTGATTTTATTTTATTTGTTAAATAATAAAGGAATGAGGTAAGGATGAAATAAGCACTATTAGGTGTTTTTTATTTTTTATAATATTAAAAACATACTCTTCCCACACCTTATAGAATTGACTTCTCCAGGCCACTTTGGGGACTGCTGTTGTGGAAGGCAAATCTGAGGCTCAGTGGAGACTTCTCCTCACTCTTTCTCTGTCTTGTCCCCCCCAAATCCAGGCCTCGTGCACAGGACTCACATGTCCTCCTGCCGTGTGGATAAACCCTCAGAGATCGTGGATGTTGGGGACAAAGTCTGGGTGAAGCTGATTGGGAAAGAGGTGAGTTTAATTCTCATTCCTTAGTGCTGTGGGGGACAAGTGTCCTTAAACGTGTTGAGAGCTGTGCCAAGGGCTGGGTGTTACTGCACTTTGCTGGGCCAGGTGAATCCTCTGCACCTCCAGCTGTGCCCTCGGGCACAATCCCTGCTGGGACTTCCAACAGTGCAGGTCAGGAAAAGGGATTTCATGGAATTGGGATCCTGAGCTGGAAGGGACCCCCAAGGACCATCCAGTCCAACCCTCAGCCCTGCACAGGCCCAGCCCCAAGAGTCACCCCCTGTGCCCCAGAGGATCAGCCAAAGCCTCCTGCAGCTCTGGCAGCCTTGGGGCTGTGCCCACTGCCCTGGGGAGCCTGTTCAGTGCCCAAGCAGCCTGTGGGGGAAGAACCTTTCCCTGAGATCCACCCTGAGCCTGCCCTGACACAGCTCCAGCCATTCCCTGGGGGCTGTCCCTGCTCCTTCCAGAGCAGAGATCGGAGCTGCCCCTCGGGAGGAGCTGCAGCCCCCGCTGAGCTCTGCCCTCAGTCTTCTCTGCTCCAGCTGCACACACCAAGTGCCCTCAGCTGCTCCTCATGGCCCCTCCAGACCCTTCACCATCCTCATAACCCTCCCTTGAATGCTCTCTAACAAGGTCATGCTGGAAACAGAATGTTCATCTCAAACAACCCATAGTGGTGAGTTATGCTATTGCTGAGCCTTTATTTTTTCCTGAGGTAGTTGGTTTATTAGCTGCAGTACTCCAATTACAGCTAAAAATTACCAGAACAAAAGCCCTTTCGTGTCATATCCTTGGTGGTGCTGCTCTTGGCCATCCAAGTTTCCCTCCTTCCCTGTAGGCCTCCAGAACTACATTAATTAACCAGACCCAGCATATTAATTAACATCACGGTCATTAATTGTGCTCACTCCACATCTTTGTTTCAGATGAAAGATGACAAAGTGAAGCTCTCCCTGTCCATGAAGGTCGTTAACCAAGGCACGGGAAAAGACCTCGATCCCAACAACGTTGCCCTTGAGTAGGTAAATCCACTGAGCAGAGTCCAACAGGCCAGGTGGGAATGGCTTCCCACTGCCAGAGGGCAGGGATAGGTGGGATATTGGGAAGGAATTGTTGACTGTGAGGGTGGGCAGGCCCTGGCACAGGTTGCCCAGAGAAGCTGTGGCTGCCCCTGGATCCCTGGAAGTGTCCATGGCCAGGTTGGATTTCCAACCATTCGGGTGTGTTCATGTGAGTGTTCACACCCAAAACACAGATGTTACATGGGGGATGCAACTGCAGCTCCCTGAGTGTTTGCTCTGTCTGTACAAACATGCAGGCTGAAAGGTGATAGTGGGTGGAAAATGGAACTGTCCTTCTCTTCCCAGCCAGGACGAGAGGAAGAAACGCACCTTCAGGGACTACACGAGCCAGAAGATCACGCTGGAAGCTGTTCTGAACACCGTGTGCAAGAAGTGTGGCTGCAAAGGTGTGTTTGGGCAGGGCTGGCTGGAGCTTCTGCTGCAGCCTTGTTCCAGTCAGGTAGGATTGTATCAGTGTCTGTGTCATGGAAAGAATCACAGATGGTTTGGGTTGGAAGGGGCATTTAAACTCATTTAATTCCACCCCCTGCCATGGGCAGGGACACCTTCCACCAGCCCAGGGTGCTCCAAGCTGGCCTTGGACACTTCCAGGGATCCAGGGGCAGCCACAGCTTCTCTGGAAACCTGTTAACATGGGTGTGTGTAAGGACTGAATTTGGCTCCCATGGGTCTCCCTTAGAGGAAAACTGCATTTTCTGTCTCTGGTTATAAAAATGGAAGACTTAGTTCAAGTCCTTTCATAAAAGTTCATTCCTTAAAATCCCATCCCCTTTGGGCTGCTGGAGAGGTTCCAGCAGAGGCCACAGAGATGATTAAGGGACTGGAGGATCTCTGGTGAGGAGGGACTGAGGGAGCTGGGCCTGGTTAGTCTGGAAAAAGACTGAGAGAGGATCTTATCAATCCATACAAATACCCCTAAGGGATGTCAGAGGTTGTGCCAGACTCTGTTCAGTGGTGCCCAGTGACAGGAGGAAGAACAAGGGCCAGAGACTAAAACACAGCAAGTTCCACCTCAGTGTGAGGAACAACTTCTGTCTATGGAGGTGGCAGGGCCTGGAACAGCTGCCCAGGGAGGGTGTGGAGTGTCCCTGTCTGGAGACATCCCAACCCCACCTGGACATGTCCCTGAGCCACCTGCTCTGGGTGACCCTTCCTGGGCAGGGGGATGGACTGGGTGATCTCCAGAGGGCCCTTCCAACCCCAGCTAATCTGTGATCCCTGCTGGGAACCCTTCAGTCCTGGCAGTGTTTGCTCAACGTGTCTCACAGCTGAGACCTCATTCTGATTTTGCATTTTGAGAAGCAAACATGCCCTTCACCAGATCATCTGACTGTGAACACTGACCAATGGAAATCCCACATCACTGGGGTTTTAACCTGCTGAAATCTGTGTCTTGCCCAGTTCAGCAGTGGGAGCCTGACTTGTGTGATGCCTTTCAGGAGCTTTCTGCAAGTTGCTGAAGCATCAGGTAGTTCTTTTTTTTGGACAGGAGTTTTTTTGGCTGTGCCCCACTTGCCTGATGTTATTTGGAGCAAATGGTTAATGGGGTTTGTGCTATTCTGGAGGAGGTTAATAATGAGGATGGGCTCTGTAGTGATAGGGAAGTATCTTTAAAATACTATTTTAAAGAATATTATATATAAAATACTATTTTAACTCCCCAAAAAAGTAGGATTCTACGTATTTCCAGTCTGATTTTAATGATGCTGTCTCCTCCTGACAGCAGGCAGGTGCCAGCTCTCTGAGTTTCCACTTCAGCTATTAGTAGGTCAGCTTTGATACCTCCAGAGTAGAAAGGGCAGAACCAAAATGAGCTGCTTTCCCCTCTTTATTTGTGGCTTTGTGGCTCATTTACCAGGTGCCAATCACACCAGTTTACCTTTCCCATGCCCCTTCCTGTGCTGTTTAAGCCCCTTGCACAGACAGGTCTCTGCAATTGCCCTGTTCAGACAGGAACATCTTCCTTTTTTGCCTGACTCATTTCTCCAGAATGACCTGGGTTGTGTTTTATCTGGCCTGTTGAATCAGGGCACGTCAAACCAGCTGAAGTTTTAGGACAAAAAAAAACCATCCAGTGTAGATTGTCTTCTCGTGACTCATAATAAAAAGATCCTCAGCAGCAGCTCAGGTGTGTGAAGTGCAAAGGGAAAAGGGCATGAGTTGCTCCTTCAAACATTTAATTTACAGGTCATTTTGCCAAGGAGTGTTTCGTGCAGCCTGGGGGTACCAAGTACAGCCTCATCCCAGAAGAGGAGGAGGATGAGGTGGCAGCAGCAGCAGGACATGGAGGAGACAAAAAGACCAGCCTGGCTGAGGAGCCTTCAAAAAAGAGGAAAAAGGTAGGAGGTGACCTGGAAAAGTGGGATGAGCAGTTTGCTGCGTGAGTTACTGCAGCAACATGGGTGTGTGAGTAACCACTTCTGGGCTGGGAGGGTGGCCCAGTCTTCCTGTAGCAAAACAGGACTCTCCTCTGCAGACTTTTTAGTCACTCTTAAACTTTCTGCCTCTCTTTGTGCTAAACTGCCTTTAAGCTGGTCCTGGGCTGTGACACACAGCCCCCCAAAGATCTGTGACACACAGCCCCCCAAAGATATTTCTTGGAGTGAGAAAAGGATTATTATTTTCCTGCTGGTCTTTGTGAGGCTCTGTGGGAATTGCTTTGGTTTCCTGAATGTCTGTGATTCTTGCCAATAAGCTGTTTTCTCTCCCTTTGCCCTCCCACCTTTAACCTGAGCTCAGTGCCCAGTTTCTGGCTCCAGGGGGTGTCCTGACCCAGCCAGAAGGTGAAAATCCATGGGAAAATGGCAAGAGATAACAGTATTTTTGTGTGCAGTGTTTGACCTTCGGCTCAGAATGTGCTGGGATGAGATTCAGGGGAGGCCTGAACCCAGACCAGGAGCTTTTGGGGGTCAGGTTTATACAGCAGAGGCTGTTGATAGAATCCCAGACTGGTTTGGGTTGAAGGGACATCAAAACCCATCTCATTCCACCCCCTGCCATGGGCAGGGACACCTCCCACTAGCCCAGGTTGCTCCAACCTGGCCTTGGACACTTCCAGGGATCCAGAGGCAGCCACAGCTTATTCCAGTTCTAGACTTCAGTAAACAATCAAACTTTTATCAGCCCCTTCACAACTGCAGTACCATGTTTATTAACACTCCTAAAGCCCTTTTTCTGTTATTGTTTTCCTCTTTGCAGCTCTGTGGCCTCTCTGTGTCCCTGGAGAGGGACAGGAAGCAGAGCTGATGGATTTTGGCTTTACAAGGATGGTGTCAATTATGGCACAGTGAGAACCAGCTCCTGAGGGCTGGGCTCTCCCAGCATCACTGTGGCCTCACACCAGTGCTGGTAACTGGTGGGAGAGGCTGCAGATGCTGCCAGTAGAATCATGGAATGTTCTGAATTGGAAGGGATGATCAAGTCCAGCTCCTGGCCCTGCACAGACACCCCAGCAATCCCACCCTGTCCCTCAGAGCGTTGTCCAAACCCTCCTGCAGCTCTGGCAGCCTTGGGGCTGTGCCCACTGCCCTGGGGAGCCTGGGCAGTGCCCAACCACCCTCTGGGGGAAATGCTGACTATGGGTGGAGGAGTCTGATTTGAGCACCAAACACAGTTAGTGTTGATTTGATCCCAAATGGGCAGCTCCTGTTTCCTCAGGAGCACTTGGAGAGCTGATCCAGAGGTGGGAAGATCTCTCTTGGTCACAGATCTTATGCCAGGCTCCATCCCTGGATGTCCTGTGCTTCCACCCTGTGTAGGCTCCTGCTCCAGAGTCCTTGGGATGTCTGTGGAGTGTCATGGCACTCTGATAGAAAATCCACATCGTTTACTTCCTGTTCTGATCTTGGGATCATGGGATTGAACCGAGTCATCCCTCAGATCCCAGGCTGGCTGTGCCTCTGCCCTTTCCAGACCCCACACACTGGGCTTCTCTGTTCTCAGCTCCACAACCCTTCTCCTGCCTTGAGTCTCTTCCCTCTGGCAGGGATGGGGATTTGTCTGGTAAAGGCTCAAGTTATTTAAATGTTGTGGGGGAAAAATTACACTAAGAGGTGCATGAATAACTCCACATCCAGCAGGATGGGCATTCCCAGTGGAGTCCTGCCCTGCTGACATTACAGGATATGGGGTCACTGTCCTGAGTTTGTTCCTATTTTTCTTTGGTTTGGTGTATTAACAGCTTTCCTTTAAATCTTGCTCGTTCCTTTCATCTTCCCCCCTTCTCAAGGAGGACATCAAAAGTGTTCAGATGTTTGCCAGAGCTGGAATAACAACACTTGGAGCTTCTCAGGAGGCAGGATGTGGGATCCTCGACATGAATAGCTCCCTTGTTGTCTGAGTGCCTGCTGTGAGCTCGTCGAGGAGCCACCATGTGCTTCCCTGCCTGGCTGCAGCTCCAGGGATTTACACAGCATAGAAATAGCTCATTTTACCCAGTGACAGTCCCCTGGCTGAGCCATCCCACGTGTGTGACATCAGTGTGGAGCTGGATTCTTAAACGAGTAGCAGGGAGCTGCCACTCCCCAGTGATCCCACCTCCACTTAGTGCCAGAGCAACACTATTGACCCTTCTGGTTGTTCAGGATCAGCTTTTTCTGCTTTCCTAGAGCTGATGCATTCTTGCAGTCTCTGGGTGCTCTTCCCTGTCCCCAAAGATTCCTCTCCTCACAGAGGTACTCTGAGGTTCTCACTCCCTTTTTTTCTCACCTTGCCTTCCCAATGGCTCCTCAATTTTTTCCTTCATTTACAGGATGTAGCTGTAGCTTTGGGTCTGTGCTCTGGCACAGGCACTGATGTGACAGTGACACAAGTCCCTGTAGTGACAGATCACCCTGTGATCACAGTCCTGCCTCCTGTAATCCCTGAGGAAATAAATGATTTGAGGGAGAAGTGGAGATGCTGGAGCGTGTGCAGGGAAGGGAACAGAGCTGGGAAGGGGCTGGAGCAGCAGGAGCAGCTGAGGGAGCTGGGGGGGCTCAGCCTGGAGAAAAGGAGGCTCAGGGGGGACCTTCTGGCTCTGCAACTCCCTGACAGGAGGGGGGAGCCGGGGTGGGGGTCGGGCTCTGCTCCCAGGGAACAGGGACAGGAGGAGAGGGAACGGCCTCCAGCTGTGCCAGGGGAGGCTCAGGTTGGACATCAGCAGGAATTTCTTGCTGGAAAGGGTGGTCAGGCCTTGGAAGGGTCTGCCCAGGGAGGTTTGGAGTCCCCACCCCTGGAATGATTCAAAAATCGTGTGGATGTGGCACTTCAGGATGTGGTTTAGTGGTGAACATGCTGGGGCTTGATGATCCTGAAGGTCTTTTCCAACCCTAAAACAGCTCCATCATCCCATGCTGCAGTGGTGGCAGCACCTCTGGGCAGTGTGTGACAGCTGGGCAGGGCAGGGCAGGGCTGTGTGTCCCTGTCCCTTTTCCTTGGGGGTCAGGGGGTGAGGCAGCTCCTGTGGGAACACAGCAGCAGTCCCTGTGTGGGAGGCAGGAGTGCTGGGAAGAGCTGAGCCCTTTGATCCTGCCTTCTCCTCTGCCTCCCAAGGAAACATCCCCAGTGTTCACCCAGGGCTACAACCCCTTCAGTTTAAAGTCTGCATCTCCTCAGTCCCACCCAACAGCTCATCCTGGGCTGATGATCCATTGGAATTGGGGCTTTCTGAAGCTTTGGCTGCTTTTTTTCCCACCTTGTAGAAGAGTTCCAGGTGCTCTGCCTGCAGCTGTTGTCTCTTCCTGTAAAAACCACACCTGGCTGATATTTGTTCTGTGACCTGTGGCTCATCAAGCCTCACTCCATCCTCCCTTGGGCTTGTTTTACTGGTTCCTACACCACAATAGCTGAGGGCACAGCTCACTGTGCTTAATCCCTGCTTTTCTGAGCCCGCAGACTGGATTCTCCTCCTCAGGTTAGTTCTGACTGCTCCTCAAACAAGGGATGCAAAAAAATCACCTTTAGATTTATGTAGTGAATCTTGTTAGGGATTAAATTGGGTGGTGGGATAAAAAATCCAAAATAAAATTTAAAAAAAAAAAGAAGCCTGTGAGGATTATTGGCACCTCCCTGGAGATGCAGATTGATATCTCTGTGGAAATCCACTCTTAATTTTTCCCCCAAGGACAGGCAGGAAAATGTTGAAATGTGGCCACAACTTCCACCAAAAGGGTCTGCTGAAAAATATTTCAAGTGTTTCTGGACACTCCCCTCTTATCTCAAAACCAAATACCTTGAGAAGGAATGAGCTGTTGTGACATTCCTAAAGCACAGCCTGGGAGCAAATGAACCCAAACAAAATCACCCCCAAATAGCCCGAAACATTCCCCAAATCCATGTATTTTCCCTGGAATTCCATCAAAATGCTGCCAAAATCTACATAAAATACCCCAAAATACCGCTGAAATTCACCCAAGAGGCCTCTAAAATCCACCCAAATCCCATCAAACTATCAGGAAAATGCACTCAAATGCCACTGAAATCTGTCAAACTTCACCCAAAATCATGGAATTCGCTTCAGAATTCCCAAAATGTTCAAAATCCCCCACTAAACCCCCCAAATTCAGTCAGAATAGCCCCATATCCCATCAAAATGCAACAAAATACCCCCAAATACAGGTAAAATGCATCTCCCAAAATATCCCAGAATTTCCCCAAATCCCCCCAATATTCCCAAACCCACAAAACCACCTCCAAAAATTCCCAAATCCCATCAAATCCCCCTGAAATACATAAATTACACCCAAACCCCCCAAATCCCATCAAAATACCCCCAGATATCCCAAAAACACCCTCAAAATCCGTCCAAATCCTTGAAAATCCCATCCAAATAGCTCCAAAGCCCACGAAAAGCCACCAAAATCCACCAAAATCCCCCCAAATCCATCGAAAGCCAGCCAAAACGCCTCCAAATCCACCCCAGGTCCCATTAAATTCCCACAAAAATTCACCAAAACACCTCATAGACCCCAGCCTTGATCCCCAAATTCCCCATGGAAATGTTTACTGGTGAGCAGTGCAGTGCCTTGGGAGAGTCATGGAATAGTGGAATACCCACAGCTGGAAGGACCAAATCAAGTCCAACTCCTGGCCCTGCATGGGACACCCCAAAATCCCACTCTGTGCCCGAAAATTCCCACTGTGTGCCCGAAAAAAAGGACTCTCAGTGTGTTGGGAGGAGGCCCTGAGGGGTGATTGTTTTTTGCAGTGCCCAACACGTGCTTTGGTGTCCCCTGTCATCCCGTGTGACATCCTGTCCTGCCTTCAGCCCTTGCATCCTCAGCGAGTTTCCCAAGCCCTGGAATGAAGCTCTCGTGGTTCTTAAAAGGTCTTGTCAAACTTTCTCACCGCCCAAGCCTGGGGAAGCTTGAGAAAATTCTCCTGGCTGCATATCCCTTTCTCTGGAAGGGTTTAACTCTTTCCCGTCCTGTTCCAAAGGCTGTGAGGATTTGGGGTGTTTTTTTGTGTGTGTGGGTTGGGGATTTGTAGGATTTGTAGTGAGTCTTGTTATCCCACAGGAAAATGTAGACACCGGGTTTTGATTGTGGATCCTCTGTGGGATCCCAGAGGACTCTGCTCAGCTCCAAAGCAAGTGTTGTCTTTGCTCTTCCATCTCCCTGAAACAATTGTTCTCTGTCACGGTAAATAAACTGCCAGCTCCCTTCTTTATTCCCTAATTGACAAGCCCGTGCCTGGTGCTGGGATACCCAATCCATGGGAAATCATGTCCCTGCTCCTAGGGGAGAAGGTGCTGGTTTTAAAGGAAATACAGGCAGGCTCAGCATGATCTGGGGTAGGAATATTTGCAGGGAAGCTGCACCTGTCTGGAAGTGGCTGGAGCTAATGGAAGAGGGAGGAATCAGCCTTCTCATGAGGACACCCTCCACATGAGGACACTTTCCCCAAGCATTTCACTCCTCAGGGCAAGTTTGTGGGTGGCACTGGAGGGCTCCTGTGCCCTCACTGTTGACACACACCTACATCCAGCGTGGCTTCAACAGGCTCTCCCACCCTGGGGAGCTCGAAGCCTGCAGAGATGATCCAGTGGGATGTAAAAGTCCGTCCTCAAACAGTGTTCAGTGCCTTGGGGTGCTCTGCTGATGCAATTCCAGTGCACCCAGGCCTGATCTCGGGGTAATCTCTGCTCGGTGGTTCCTCACATGCCTCAAATTCGAGGGTTTAGATGCATTTCCAAGTTCCTTGTGACCTTTATTCCAGCTCCAGCTCTTCTTGTCCTGCATCTGGGAAGCTTTTCCTTCAGGGCTTTGCAGAAACAGCTGGAGCCTGGGGGGCTCTGTGGTGTCATGGAGAGGAGGGATGTGGGAGAGCAGGAGGGGGTGCAAGGGAAACTGGGGAGAAGAAGGGGGGCAGTGGGAAGTTGGGGAGCAGGAGGGGGTGCAGAGAAATTTAGGGAGCGGGAAGGTGTGCAAGGGAAGTTGGAGAAGAGGAGGGTGTGCAAGGGAATCCAGGAGATCAGGAGGGGGTACAAGGGAAACTGGGGAGCAGGTGTGGGAGGCAGGAGAGGAGTTGCAGAGAAAGTTGGGGAGCAGGATGGGGATGCAGTGGGAAGTCAGAGAGAAGGAGGGTGTGGAAGGCAAACTGGGAAGGAGAAGGGGTGCAGAAGAAGTTGGGGAGCATGAGGGTGTGCAGGGAAAGTTGGGGAGCACAGGATGGTGCAATGGGAAATTGGGGAGCAGACGAGGAGGGGCAGGGGAAGTTGTGGGGCAGGAGGAGGTGCTGTGGGAAGTTGTGGGGCAGGAGGGGGTGCTGTGGAAAGCTGTGGGGGCAGGAGGGGGTGCAGTCTCTGCAGGGAGGTTGTGCCAAGAGCGGGTGCTGGGAGGGCACCGAGTTCGTCCTGCCTGCAGGAAGCTCTGATGGGCACAGCTTGGGCTCTCCCACCAGGAGCAGCTGTGTTTGGAGAGCTCCAGCACGTCACTGATCATCTCCTGGCATTCTGGGGGCTGCTGACAGGGTAGGGGTGCAGGGGTGGTGCTCGTGGCTATTTTAGAAACCCATTTTTTGGGCAAAAAAGCTTCGTCCTTCCAACTTTTAGTAATTAAAATCAACCTTAAATAATGGAGTGAGCTCTCACCGTGGAGCAAGGGCAAGGACTCTCCTTTTGATCTGAGTCTTTCCAGGCTTGGCTTTACATGTTGCCTCCCCCTGCTCTGATTTGTGCTGTCCCCTGTCCCCAGCTCCTGCAGCTGTGGGCCCACGGTGGGGATTAACTCCTGCCTCCTGGGGCAGAGTGCCCTTTCCTGGCAGGAGCAGGCTCCCTGTCCCAGCTGCAGAGGCACAGGGACACAAAGCCCCTTGCTGCCCTGGTGAGCACAGGTGACAGTGTTCCCACACGTTTTCCATTTGTTTTCCCAGGAGAAGAAGAAGAAAAAGAAGCACAAGGCGAAGGAGTCCTCAGAGTCGGACTCGGACAGCTCGGACTCGGACAGCTCAGGGGCTCAGCCCTCCAGCAAGAGGAGCAAGCATTCCAAGGCCCCCAAGAAGAAGAAGAAGCAGAAGCACAGGAAGTAGCCCTGGGAATGAGCAGGGGCAGGGTGGGGTGCTGATGTTGCCAGTCCCTGGTGCACACCAGCAGCAGCCAGCAGGAACCGGGGACAAAGTTTCCTTCTAAAGTAACCCAGGCATGTGGTGTTACAGGTGTGACCTTGCTACAAGTTGTCCTCTGTCACCTTGGCACAGGCTGCCCCTTTCTCCCACAGCTCCTGCCAGGACAGGCTCATGACAGCCTGCAGGGCACCTCTCCTGTCCTGCAGCCTCGTGTTTCACTGGCTGCGCTGCCAGCGGCAGCCTGGGTGACATCAGCCCTGTGCAGCTCCTGCAGAGCTGGGGTGGCACTGCCAGGCTGTCTCTGCCTGTCCCCACACTGCTCAGGGACAGCACTGGGTGTTGCTGGGCCCTGGGACAGGGCCACGTCCCCCCCCCCTTGGCTTTGGGCTGCAAAGCTGCCCCAGCTCCCCCTGTGTCTGCAAACACTGCGAGTGGAGGAGCAAGAAGCACACGGGGAGTGGAGATACTTTAAGTAAACACTGGGCAGTGTTTGCTGCCTTGGAAGGTGATGGAAAAGAAATCTCTGCTGTTTCCATTTCCAGCAGTGCTTTGTACCTACTCTTCTGTCCCGGCCACACTTGGGGCAGGAAAGGAACAGGGCACAGACCTACAGGAAAGGGGTTTTTTGGAAGTCCTGGCTGCTTCCCCAGGTCCCCCCCGGGGCGGGAAGGGGGTGTGTGGTGAGGTAACCCATAGGAGAAGCCTGGTGCCTTCTGGAAGGGAGCAGCTGGAGCATAAATCTTGTAACTGGAGCTGAAGGTCAGGGGGAAGGGATGGCAGGGACCCCAGAGGGTGTCTGCCAGGAGCAGGAGCAGCGTGTCCATGCTGAGACAGATGTGCTGAAGGGACTGGGGAGGTGAGTCTCTCCTGTTGCCTTTGGCTCTACGGGGAGGTCAGAGTGGGGTTGGCAGCTCCCTGTTGGTGTCACAGCAGAAGGATTTGGGGTTGCTGGTGCAGCCTGTCCCTCCTCTGTGTGCTGTGCCCCAGTCCCCCATGGCTGCATCCCCCCTTGGGGCCAGTTCCCTTCCCAAAACCAGCCACCAAGTGCTTGGGATGTTGATTCCAGCCCTGCCCTGGTGGAAGGATCACTGTCCAGGAAAAGGAGCTTGTCTGGATCCTGAACAAATATTCCCCCTGGGAAAGCACATTTTAACCCTCACAGCCTCTTATTTCCACATGGAGAAATGTGCTGCAGGGATCAGTGGGCATTAACCCCATCCCTGCCAGGGTGGCCAGGCTGGTGTCCTGGCTGAACACTGTGGGTGGGCACATGCCAAACCAGCCTTTTCCAAGCAAACCGACCACAGAGCTGTAACAACACGGCCTTTATTCTTTTTCCACACGACTTTTCCCATTATTAGTTAAAAAAAACAACGCCAAAAACAAACCACAAACCCACCCCCCCCAGGCCCCGGGAGGCGCCGGGGCGGGGGCAGCAGGAGGCTCCAATCCCACGTGGAGCTGTGCCCAGCACGGGGTGGGGATGTGGGAGATGGGATGGACGTGGCACCGGGTGACAGTGCGGGGCGGGGACAGCGCCTATGTCGCCTTCTCGTAGGTGCGGGTGCAGACCACGTTGCCAAGGGTGAGAGTCTGGGGGCAGATGATGAGGAGGGGGGGTTAGTCCAGCTCTAGGCCTGCCCTGGACTGAGCCCTTCCCGGGTTTAACACCCTTTCCTTACCAGAATTAACTTCCCATCCTTCAGCTCTCGCACCAGCGTTGTCTCCTTCCCGTCCCACTTCTGCACGTGGACGAGTTTCCCTCCATCCAGCTTCACCACAGACTGTGGGGAGAGAGAAGACCTGCTGTGAAACCCTCCTTCCCTGCGTCTCAGGGCTCTTGGGGGGGCTTTGTCCCTTGGAGGGGACGGTGCTGGGTGTCCTGTGCTCACCCTGGAGCCCCTCAGTGCTCAGGATCAGGCTGTGAGTGCCACCCTCGGGATGCCCATCCGGGATCATCCCACCTGGCTCGGTTAGTCCTTCCCAACCCAGGACACCGCGTCCTCTGCTTGGTCACAGCCTCGGCTGCCCCACCGCAAACCCAGCGTGCCCTCCCTGCCCCGGGGCCAGCGCAGGGAGCCCTGCCCAGGGTCCCATCCTGCTGCGGGGCCCCGGGAGCTGAGCCCGGCCGCTCCCAAGCCCGCCGGAGGGCTCGGAGGGGCGGGGCGGGTATCGGGGCAGGTACCGGTCCTTTGAACCGCAGCTTCCCTGCCCTCCGGAGAGCTTTGGACGGTTTCTTGGAGGAGCTGATCCGGCAAACGCGCCTCTGCTCGCCGGGCTGTTTGCGCGGCCGCTGCTGCTGACTCAGCCCGGCCGTGCCCAGGTTGGTGTGACAGCAAAGGCCGTGCCAGGACAGGCACTGCCCCGGCCCCATCCTGCCCTGTGCCCCCCACCCAGCCCCTCCAGCGCTGGGGCTGCCCCTCGGGTGCCCCCATGGGGGCTCTGTCCATAGCTCCGGTGTCCCCACAGGGCTCTGGGTGCTCCCTGAGAGCTCAGCTCTCCCCACAGCTGGGTTGTTCCCACTGCTGGGTACCTACAGGAATTTGGGTGCCCCACAGCCCTGGAAACCATGGCCAGAGGGCAGGGTTAGATGGGATAGTGGGGAGAAACTTCTCCTGGGAGGGTGGGCAGGCCCTGGCACAGGTTGCCCAGAGAAGCTGTGGCTGCCCCTGGATCCCTGGAAGTGTCCAAGGCCAGGTTGGAGCACCCTGGGCTGGTGGAAGGTGTCCCTGCCCATAGCTTTGAGGTCCCTTCTAATCCAAACCATTCCATGATTCCATGCAATCCTTGGTGCCCCACAGCTCCACACACCCCCTATGCCCCATCCCTGCAGCCCACAGCTTGTCCTGGCCCTTGCTTGACCCATCATGTACCCTCTGAACCCTGGCCGAGGGGCACCCCAAGGGCACGTCCCCGGGCTGGGCAGGAGCTCCTGGCTGGTCACACGTTCCTGCTGCTTTGAACAGTTTCCAGCAGTTCCGGAGGGTGGGAAGGGGGTGGAAAGGGGGTGGGCAGGGCCCTGCTGCCCCGTGCCTGCCCGGCTCACGCTGCCTCCCTTCCCCCATCCTCACTCCCTGCCCAGCCCTTGTGCTTCCTGCCTTGGGGCCGGGAAGGGGTTTCGTGCCCAGCGAGCCCCAAGGTGCCCCCTGAGGTGCCCCCCGGGCTGGGTGGGGGGCAGGGGGCTGCCAGCTGCTCCCTGCAGGGAGGAGTGAGGTGTGGGATTCAGTGAGGTGTGGGACCAGCAGCTGGAAACCAGGGAAAAGCAGTGGCTGGATCAGTCCTGCAAGGGAAAATGTCTCTGCAGGTGCTCTGACCTCCCTCAGGTGATTTTTCTCTTGCTCTTACGGTGAGGAACAGCTCTGCCCAGAAGATTTTGGGCTCCCCAGGGACCCCCGGGGATGCATCAGCCCCTGGGGAGGCACCAGCCAGGTGGGATTGTCCGGGTGCTCCGTCCCTGTCCCCACCTGCAGAGCTGCCTGCTCGGGAGGGTGGGCAAAGAGGGGGCTCAAAAGAGGCCCTGTGCCCCTCTGCCCCCGGAGTGGGGACACTCACCACCACCCCACTGCATCCCTTGGCCTCCTCTTGAGCAAGCTGGCACTTGCAAGCCTGGCTCTTGCACAACCTTCCCGGCAGCTCCGGGGCCCATCCTGCTCCCGGAGCTGCAAAACGGGCTGAGGGGGGGCGGGTTGTGCGAACCACACCAGGCTCGAGCACCAACCCCGGCGGGCAGAGGGGTGTTCCCCTCCCACAGGTAACCAGGGCGGAACCCTGGAGCCACGGGCCGGACCCCCCGGGAGCCCGGAGACCCTCCGTGGGGTGGGCAGGGCTGGGGGCAGGGCCGGGGGCTCACCTTGACGTGCCTGTCGTCCGCCGTGGTCTCGTCGAACTCCTCGCCCAGCTTGAAGCTGATCTCGGTGTTCTTGAAGGTGCTCTGGGTCTTCACGGTGACCTTGTCCCCGTTCACCTCGATGATGGTGGTGGGCTTGGTGAGCCCGGCCATCTGCCGCGTGGCAAAGCTCACGCCTGGGGAGAGGGTGGGGGGTGAGGGGGATGCAGGGGCAGGATGCTCCTCCGATCCCTGGGGCATCACCCCGGAGCTCTTCCTCCCTCCCCGTGATTCACCCCCCCAAAACTGCTCCCCACCCGTGGTCTCGGGGGGGGCTTTGTGTGCCTGCCACACTTTGGGGGGAAGGGACTCTGGGACACAAAGGGGGGTCCAGGGAATGCTGTCGTTGCTAAGGGATGGATCCTGCACCGGCACGCACCAGCTCCTGGGGGAGGGGGGGCACCGGTGCCTGTGCCCCCTCCCCGCGTTGCTCCGGCGTGGGGGACACACCCTGCCCAGGGGCTGGGGCTGGGTGCTGGGGGGCTTGGGGAGTCCCGGGTGGCTCCCAGAACCGCGGGGGGACATCTCATCCCCCCACCCTCTGCCAAGGCTTGCCCAGGGGAAGAACGAGACCACCTCACCCAACCTGAGATCCCCTTACCCAGCCCGAACCCCCGTGCACAAAACCCCAGAGCCCCTCCCGAAAAAGCACCCACCCAGGCAGCAGCGACCCCCCCACCGCCTGCACGTCCCCCCAGGCCAGACCCCGCGTGTGGGGGGCGCAGTGTGGGGAGGAGGGGTGCATAAAAAAAAAAAGGGGGTGATGTGACTCCAGCCCCCCTCAGCCCCCACCCCTACTCACCCAGAGCCTTCATGTACTCATCGAAATTGTTGGTCTCCACCAGCTTCCAGGTGCCCACGAAGGCGTCCACCATGGTGAGGGGGTCTCGGGGGGGGTTCCGCAGGCGCTCGGGGGTTTCGGCGTGCTGCGAGCGTGGCACCGGCTGCAGCTGCTCCGGCCCCGCCGCCGCCTTAAATAATGTCCTCATCACATGATTGGAAAGAGCACGGCGCGCTCCAGAAATACTCCCCCTGGCAGCGCTGGCAGCGGCCACCCCCGGCACGGACACCCAGCCAGCCACCACCGACCCCCGCCACGACCCCCCCGGGCTGGGGCAAGGACGGGGAGGCGGAGAGAGGGGCACTCGTGTCATGAGTTGTGTGCGGGCTCAGCGGGGCTGGGGGTGCGGGGTGCGGGGAACCGAGGCAGGGCAGGGCTGGGCACGGGGTGTGTGCCCGCCACGGGGGACGTGGGGACGGGGTGGGTGCTGCCCGTGGAGGTGGCACACGGTCAGAACCTGGGGACAGTGGCAGGGACAGTGCCCTTCACGGGACGGGCAGGCTGGGCTGGGGACACTGAGGCACGGGGAGCAGCAGGAGGTGTGTGGGGACATTTAGGGACTCCAAGGGAGTGTGGGGACACGTGTGACCCCTCCTCGGCCCCCAGCTCCTTGTGTGTGTGGGGACACATGTGAGCCTGTCCCTGCTCCGTGTGTGTGGGGGCATATACGTGACCCCTGTGTGTGTGGGGACACACGTGTGCCCCCAGGGATGCTCTGTGTGTGTGGGGGACACACTGGGGACACCGACAGGCCCCACATGTCCCCTCACTTTGGGCACCAGTGGCAGTGGGGTCAGGGTCAGTGCATCCCCCAGGCCTTCCCAGTGTGTGGGGTCACCCGTGGCCGTGGGATTTGGTGTCCCCCAGTGCCTGGGGATGATCCTCCTCCTGTCCCCAGAGGGACCCAGCTGGGGGTTCAGGTGTCCCTGAGCCCCGTGACTGCAGCGCTTCCCCTCGTCTTGGGGACTTCGGGGTCAAAGTGTCCAGGCCCCTGAGTGACCTGGGAACACTTTCTCCCTGTGTCTGGCCCCGGTGTGTCATCACAGGCACCCAAAAATAGCTGGAGCTCGTGTTCAGCCTCCTGTGCTGACACTGCCACTGAGCACGACCCCTCACCTCGTGCCCTGGGGGGGACAGGAGCTGTCACTGACCCCTCACCTCGTGCCCTGGGGGGGACAGGAGCTGTCACTGACCCCTCACCTCATGCCCTGGGGGGGAGAGGCGCTGTCCCCATGGGATGGTGTCCCCTTGCCCTGGCTGGGACACTCCCCTGACTCGGCTCTCCCGGCTCACAGGGATGATTTATTCCCTGTGGAGCCAGAGCCCCCATCACCTCCACACACCCCGTGGCCTGGGAGGGAACACAGAGGGCAAGGACTGTCCCCTTGTCCCCTCCCCTGGGTGTCACCGTCCCAAACTTGCACAGCCCTGTCCCCACGGATGCTCCCATGACAATGGGACCATGAGATGGGAGCAATCATGGGAACAGCTGCCCATGTGCAGGGTCAGCAATCCACAGGGAGACCAATCCACAGGGAACACCAATCCACAGGGTCATCCACATGTAGGATCCCACACCCACAGAGTCGCCCCCCTGTAGGGACACTGACTCACAGGGTCACCCCCACACCACACTCTGCTCCACCCGGGACTGGCCCCCACTCCAAGAGATGGACACTGCCCGGGATTGCGGGAGCTGCCAGGCCCATTCCCTCCGGGTGCAGGGCGCGGGCGCTGCTGGGCACGGCGTGTCCCTGCCCGTGGCCCCGCACAGCTCTCCCGGTCCCGGCCACCGCCCGGGCGGTGACCAGAGGGGACCTGGGCATCGGGATCGCTTTGCTGGTCCCACAGCGACAGCTATAGGTGACCGTCCGGGATGGGATGGGTCCAGCTCCACGTCCAACCACCCTGCCTGGCTCCGGCATCCTGGGCATCCAGCCCCCGGCCCGGGGGCAGGAGGGTCCCATCCCCGCCGCTGGCAGAAGCAGAGGATTTGGGAGAGCCCGGGAAGGCCTCTCTCCGTGTCTCCCGCATCCCCGAACGCCGCTGGCTCCGCTGCTTCCCCCGGTCCCGGCGCTGCGGGAGGGGACTCAGCGTGGGGACCCGTGGGTGCCTCTGGCATGGGGGGTTCCAAACAGCATCGCCCTGCTCCCTAACCCCTCAAAATCACCCATCTCCCCATCCCCAGGAGCAGAGACGTGCTGGGTGGGAACCCTCAGCGACGTGCTGGCTGCAGGGGGTGGGGGCTTTGCTTGAGGGCTGGGGGGGCTGTTGAAGTCGTGTCGTGCTCCCCCTTCCCCCCGGTTCTTGAGAAAGGCTCCCACCTCCCCCAGAAGAACAGCCAGGAGACGAGGTGGTACCCAAAAACATCACAGTGAACACCACACTCAGCAAGAAACACCGCGGCTGCTCCTGCGGCCAGGAGGGCCCCCCCGGGGACCCCCCTGCGCTCGGCTCCGCCAAAATGCCCCAGAAGAAAAATATTCCTCCCCCTGGAGAGGCAAAAAAAAAATTCCCCCCTCCGAGTCCTGGCCCAGGGCGTGGGTGGGAATCGCCCCTTTGTCACGGCAGGTCCCCGCCGTGTCCCCACCGCGTCCGCTGCTCCCCCGTGCTGGGGGTGGCACTCGAGGGTCTGGGCTGCGGCAGCACCGAGGAAATCCCAGCGGACTCCGGCCGTGCCAGGAAAGCTGGGCTGGTGCTCCGCAGCCCCCTCCTCCCTCCGCTGGTCAGCAAAGTCCCCCCGGGGCGGGGTTAGGACGTGTCCTTCAGCTCGGGGCTGGGCGGCTGCGGAGGGGGCACCTCCGCCGATGGAGACTGCATCTCCTGGGCGCTGCCTGCAGGGAGAGAGGAGGGGATGGAGTTGGGGGACAGAATCACAGAATAGAATCACAGAATCACTGAGATTGGAAAAGCCCTCCCAGCCCATGGAGTCCACCCTGTGCCCCATCCCCACCTTGTCCCCCAGCCCAGAGCTCTGAGTGCCACGTCCAGGTCTTCCTTGGACACCTCCAGGGGTGGGAACTCCAAACCTCCCTGGGCAGCCCCTGCCAGTGCCTGACCACCCTTTCCAGGAAGAAATTCCTGCTGATGTCCAACCTGAGCCTCCCCTGGCACAGCTGGAGGCCGTTCCCTCTCCTCCTGCCCCTGTTCCCTGGGAGCAGAGCCCGACCCCCCCGGCTCCCCCCTCCTGTCAGGGATTGCAGAGCCAGAAGGTCCCCCCTGAGCCTCCTTTTCTCCAGGCTGAGCCCCCCCAGCTCCCTCAGCTGCTCCTGCTGCTCCAGCCCCTTCCCTGGACACCTCCAGCCCCTCTGTGTAGTGAGGAGCCAGAACATGGGATGAGCGTGGAAACCCCAGTTCCTGCCCTCCTCCATGTCACACTCCATCCTCCTCCTCCTCCTCCTTGGCCCCTACCTGCGCTCAGGGACATCTCAGCCAGTTTGAGGGGCAGGTCAGCGGGGCTGACGCCGGCGGGCGAGCCCAGGATGTCGGGCAGGGCATTGCGCCGGCCCGTCCTGCCGGAGGATGCAAAGTCCAGCACAGGTTCCACCTCGGTCATGTTAACCCTGCAGAGAGATCACAGAATCAGACAATCACACGATCAACCAGGTTGGAAAAGACCTCTGAGATCATCGAGTCCAACCTGGGACCCAACCCCACCTTGTCACCCACACCATGGCCCTGAGTGACACGTCCAGTCTGTCCTTAAACACCTCCAGGGACGGTGACTCCACCCCCTCCCTGGGCAGCCCCTTCCAATGTCTGACTACTCTCTCTTTGAAGAACTTCCCAATGTCCAACCTAAACCTCCCCTGGCACAGCTCAAGGCTCTGCCCTCTTGTCCTACTGCTGGTTCCTGGGGAAGAGACCAACCCCCTGGTTCCCCCCTCCTGTCAGGGAGTTGCAGAGCCAGAGCTGAGGTCCCCCCTGAGCCTCCTCCTCTCCAGGCTGAGCCCCCCCAGCTCCCTCAGCACTTGTGCTCCAGACCCTTCCCCAGCCTCGTTGCCCTTCCCTGAACCTGCTCCAGCCCCTCAACATCCTCCCTTCAGCCCCCTGAGCGTGGAGAGCGAAAAGGACCTGGCTCTGATCCGGGCACGATGCTCTGGTGCCCCAGGGAGCAGGGCTGAGCCCCTGCACCCCCTCTGCTCCCACTGTGGGCCCCACAAGGCAAAGGCAGGGGCCACCCTGCCCAGGGGACTTCCCCATCCCCACCCTGGCCCCTCTGGGTGCTCTGATCTCTGCTGGTCACCCCACCATGGAGAGGAGGGGGTCCCCAGGGGTCCCCAGCAGCCTTACCGGGCACCCTCCAGCCTGGCCTGGTGCCACGTGTCCCCCGTGCCCACGGTCCTGCTCCGCTCCCCGGCCTAGTGAGGGACCCCACGGGGCACTGGGATTGCTCCTGGGTGGGTCCCCTCTGGCTCCGACCTGGGGGGGCAGAGCAGGGGGTCAGCAATGGGGCCCAGGGGGGTGAAGGAGGGAGAGGGGAGCGGCCTGGGGGTGGGACAGGCTGTGTCCCCACGGGAGCACCCACAGCACCCTCTGCCCTGGGTGGCTGCACCAAGATGGGCTGGGATGTGCAAGGGCTCCTCGTCCCTGGTGGGAAGGCAGGAGGAGAGATGGAGGGATGGAGGGAGGGATGGAGGGATGGAGGGATGGAGGTGTGACATGGAGGGAGGCTGAGAGGGCACTGCTAGGGGACAAGGGCAACAGCGTCCCTTGGAGAGCAGCCCTCGCTGACTCAGGGCAGGCAGCAGCAATTCTGGGGTCCCCAGGGTGGGTGGGGGCTCTCCTGGGAAGCCCCTGGCATTGGGCAAATCCTGCTGGAGTGGAGCCACGCTGGTGCCCGTGCTGCTGGGACAGCACTGGGATGTTTGCCCAGCTCTGGGAAACACTCAGGGCTTTTGCTGCGATGGGTGGGGGTGACACAGGGGGTGACGCAGGACAGGGGTTCCCTCCACCCACTGCCAGGGCACAGGGACCCCCTGACCACCCCCCAGCAGCCCTGTCCATCCAGGCTGGGTGGCAGTTCTGGTGTCCCCACACTGGTGGTGGTTGGAGCTCGTCCTGCTGTGGCACCAGGAACCCACCTGGGACCCCCCTCTGTGTCCTTGGGCTCAGGGGCCGTGGGAGCAGGAGGGTGACCCGGCTATGTGGGGAGAGAAATAAATCATTAACCCAGCAGGCAATTAAACAATTAATCACTGGCAGGTGATTAACAGCGGGGGCAGCTGCACCACGAGAGGTGGGACCCTGCTTGGGGGGGGGAAACCAAGGCACAGAGGGGGGCTTGGGGTGCACTGTGACATCTGTATGTGCATGGTAACACATGTATGTGCATGGTAACACATGTATGTGCATGGTAACACATGTATGTGCATGGTAACACATGTATGTGCACGCCTGGCAGCCCCTGAGACACGGATGTGCGTGCATGGTGTCCCCTGGCACACACACGTGCACGCTTGGCACGCCCTGAAACACGTGTGTGTGCACGTGTGGTGTCCCCTGGCACACGTGTGTGCGTGTGTGTAGCTCGTGTGTGGGATTGCTTGGCACCCTCTGGCACACACGTGTGGGAAATGTGTTACCCAGCCCTGGCACAGCTGCCCAGGGCAGCGCTGGAGACCCCAACCCCGGAGGGGTTTCACGGACTCTGTGGGTGTGGCACTTGGGGACAGGGGTGGCTTTGGCAGTGGTTGGGCTCGCTGATCCTGGAGGGATCCTTTTCCAATTTAAAGGGTTTCAAGGATTCCTTGATTCCTTGTTCACACAACACGCATGAAGCCAGGCATGCAGGGACACGCGTGGATACACACACACACACACGCGCGACTCTTTGCACATCCCAGCGAGGCAGGAGCCCCGCAGGCTGCATCAAAGCTCCTTCCCGGCAGCCCCAGCGGCTCCAGCGCTGGAAAATCAGGAATAGTCAGCTGGATCCCGCCCGTGCCCTTCCCGGCGTGGATGCCGGGGTTGGGTTACAGCCCGCACCTCGCCCTGCCCGGAAAAGCTGCCCAGGGGATCAGGACCCTCCTGCTGGGAGCCCCGAGGGGACCGTCCCAGGGCTGGGGGATCCTGAGCATTCCTGGGATGCAGCATCACTGTCCCGGGGAGCCCATCAGGCTGTCGCACCCCCCCGGGCTCCCTGGGGACAAGATCCAAGTGCCAACCCTTGGCCCCGGGCCGGGCACTAACACATCCTCCTGGTCCTACAGAGAAATCCAACCCCACCTGGTCCTACAAAGAAATCCAACCTCACCTGGTCCTACAGGGAAATCCAACCCCACCTGGTCCCACAGGGAAATCCAACCTCACCTGGGCAAACAGTGCTGGATAAACCAAGCTAACAGGGATTTCCCCCTCTAAGCAGGAGTAGTTTCTGGGATCTTAACGTGATCTCAGCCTAAAAAAGCTCCTGGAGTCACATGGAAGGTCTTTGGGGCCACTGGCTCCTGCTTTAATGCCCCTAATGGGATATAGGAGGGAAGGGCAGAAATAAACCTTAATCCCTGCTGGAGGTGGGCCGTGGTGGAAGGTGCTGGGAGAGGCAGAGGGAGGATGTGGCACTGGGGTGGGTGTTCCCTGGTCAAATTCCTTAGGAATGTCAAAGCCCTGGAAGGGGGAAGGAAGGAGGATGCTGGAAGGGCAGAGAAAGGTGTGAACCACCCCGGGGATGGAGCAGCTGAAGGGACCAAGGGTTCAGTTTGGGGTCAGACACCTCCATGGGCACATCCATGAGCGAGGCAGGGATTGTCCCCTCTACCACACCACACCACACCACACCAATCAGGGGTGCTGGGGGTGGCAGAACACACTCACCCCAAACATCAGCTGCCAGAGCCAGAACCTGGAGCCTGGGGACCACGGGGCACCCACCACACCACAGCTTTGCCAAATGCATTCCCTCTACCAGGGCACAGAGAGCAGGAAGGCTCCTGGGGGTTTTAGGACCTGGGAGATGCTCCAGTGATGTTAAGGATTCATTGAAACCACCAGGGTTTCCTTCTTCAGCTTCTGAGTGGAGGGTTTGGGCCACGAGCTCATCTGGGAAGAGGGTTTGGGCCATTTAATGCTCTTGGCTTTCTCTGTGTGGAGGGGTTTTTAGTTCAAAGTGTTAGGGGGTCTGCTCTGGGAAAAACTGCAGCCCAGCACGAGGCCTCCCAGAACGCTGATGTTGTTAAACGAGACGATGAACGCGATGGGAAATGGGAAAGATTTCCCAAGGTGTAAACGTAACGTTGGGTTCAGCGAGTGTTGTGAGCCAGGAAGGAAAGAGCTGCCCCAGATCAAAAGGGAAGGAGAGCAGCATCCAGGAAAATGAGCCATGAGTCCACCTGGGAGGGAAATCCAGCGGGGTTGGGTTAGGCAGGGACTGACAGCCCGAGCAGCCACCAGAGCCTGCGACAGCAGATGGCAATAATTAGGTACAGGATGAAATCTGGAGAGCCCAGAGCTCTCCCGTGGAGGAGGCAGGTTTGGTGCTGGTGGATCCCTCTCCAGGGATGTGGCTTCAGGCAGCAGAGCTCCTGTGCCAGAGCCCAGGGGATGCTCAGCAGCCCTGTGGGAATGGGCCTTGGCAGCTGCCCGTCAACTGCTCCAGGATCTCAGGGAGAGGGAAGGATGGGTTTAGGAGGGGCAGGTCCTGTCTGACCAACCTGATCTCCTTTTATGCTCAGCTGACCCGCCTGGTGGATGAGGGGCAGGCTGGGGATGTGTCTGTCTGGACTCCAGCAGAGCCTTGGACACCTCTCCCACAGCCCACTCCTGGAAAAGCTGCAGCCCAGGGCTTGGACAGGGCACTCTGTGCTGGGTTAGGAACTGGCTGGAGGGCCCAGAGAGTGGTGGGAACGGGGCTGAATCCAGTGGGGATCCAGTCACCAGTGGTGTCCCCAGGGATCAGTGCTGGGCCCAGTCCTGTTTAACATCTTTATGGATGATTTAGATGAGGGGATTGAGTCCATCATCAGCAAATTTGCAGATGACACCAAGCTGGGGGTGTGTTGATCTGCTGGAAGTCAGGAGGGCTCTGCAGAGGGACCTGGACAAGCTGGATCCATGGGCTGATTCCAAGGGGATGAGGTTCAACCAGGCCAAGTGCCGGGTCCTGCTGGGTTGTTGAGCCTGGAGAGGAGGAGGCTCAGGGGTGACCTCAGCACTCTCTGCAACTCCCTGACAGGAGGGGGGAGCCAGGTGGGGGTTGGTCTCTTCTCCCAGGAACCAGCAGCAGGACAAGAGGGTCTCAAGCTGTGCCAGGGGAGGTTTGGGTTGGATATTGGGAAGGAATTGTTTACAGAGAGAGTGCTCAGCCATTGGGATGGAGCTGCCCAGGGAGGGGGTGGATTCCCCGTCCCTGGAGGTGTTTGAGGACAGCCTGGATGTGGCATCAGTGCCATGGGCTGGGCACCACGGCAGGGTTGGAGTGAGGGTGGGACTGGATGATCTCACAGGTCTTTTCCAACCCATCTGATTCAGTGATTCCATGGTAAATAATATTGTCCCAACCTCGTTGTTTCCCAGGAAAGGGAGGAAAAGGCCCCGGAGGTGTTGGCTGGTGTGGGAATATTTA